TAATGGTGTGGAAATAGACCCCCCAAATATTTCAGGCAGAAGGAGCCTCAGGCAGCTAGGGGCCCAGTGAGTTCTTTCTCTTAGATTTTTTTTTGTGTGAAGGGGGCAATATAAATGCCAGCCATTATAACTAATCTGACTCCTGGTTATTTAATTGCATGAGGCCAGATGATGTCCCTTTCTTGCTGTCATCTCCAACACTTTGTAATGTCATCTTTCAACCTGTTATTTACAGCATTTGCCCAGAAAGAAACAATCCTGGATTTCAGTTCCTGCTCTCATTGATTCAATGCATAAAAATCCCTAACTGCTTTGTGAGAAACAAACAATCCTGAAGGAGAGGGACTGAAACCCAGAACCCTTTCTCCTACCCTGGAGCCAGGGACCTGCCCTAACCACTAATCTGTAGAGCCATACAGCCCTTCTCTGCCCCAGGTGACCTAGAACTCTTTTCTGTGCAGTGCTTGTTTTATCCATGTGGATGGAAGGCATCCACTCTCTTCCTGAGCAGCCTGGGTGCATTTTTCTGGGAGGTGGGAAGCAGAGAGGCTGTGCAGTTAAAGCATGGGCAACACTTAAGTTCTTGCAGATGCAAGATTTCAGACCCCTACCACTACAGTTAGCAATTCTCAGCTCCTGTCTTTGCACCAGCTGTTTTAGATCTTTCTGATGTGCCCAGCTTCCCCCAGCCTTGCTAAGGGAACCCACCCTAACCTAGGCTGGATTCCCATGAAGGATCAGGTGTCTCATGGGATGGTTCAGGTTGCAAGGAATCTCAGGAAGTCTCTAGTCCAGTCTCCTGCTTGAAGTAGGGTCAGCTGTGAGGTCAGACTGGGTTACCAGAAGTAAACCTTTCTGCACCTGCCTGTTTTGTGCATTTGCACAATGGCCAAGAGCAGAGGGACGCTGGGCAATCAGCATAGCTGGGCTCTATACTGGCTCTCCCAACTCAGACACTCTTTGAGGTCTTTCCTCCAGATGCATGCTCCTTCCCCAGCTGAGGAATCTACTTGCCAGGACACAGACACAGCCAGTGCAGTGCCCTCCTTCTCATGTGGTTGCACAAGTGCATGTATCCAGGCAGGGCCCACCGCTCTTGCGTATTCATGCTACCTCCCTCTCCAGGGTGTCTGATCTGCCAGATGAGCAGCCACAAATCTTCAGCGCTCCTGTAGTGCTCACTGTCTCCTGTCCTGAGCTCCCCCTACAGTGAAGGGCTGCTACAAATGAAGCTACTGAATTTCCAGTCTGAGCATATATTTCCTGCTCCAGCTGTGCTGTTTGGCCTGTCCTGCCTGTGGATACACCTCTG